AAAAGCTATCAAGCAAATTTTTACTTTTTTCCTAAAAACAATTAAGAGAAATTAGGAGAAATTCAGTACCAAAACCCTAAACGTCGCAAACAGTTTCAAAAAATCGCGTGGAATCTCACAAAAACTCGAAAAATACCAAAGACATCTCGGTGGTTTTCCTCAAAAAATACCAGACAATTCCGAAAAAATGCAAATTTTTCAAAAATAGTTCCAAAAATTTTTAAAATTTCCAAAAATATTCGACAAAATCCCGAATAGTTAAAAAAAATCTAATTCGAAATGCCAGCATCAAATTCTTTTTTAAAAGTGTCTAAAAGGCAAAATTCAAAAAATTGCGAAAAGGCCAGCCAAAAACGAAAATATTGGAAATAATAGCGAATAGTTCAAAAAAATTTAATTCGAATGCCAGCATTAAATTATTTTTAAAAATTTCTAAAGAGTAAAATGTAAAAACTGGCAAGCAAATTTTGAGAGAATAGGAAGAATTTACAACAAAATCCCGGAGAGGAGTTCAGAACAAAATTCCGAAAAAATATTGGGTGGAACCTCAAAAAAGTCCGAAAAATACTAAGCACCACGTAGATGTTTCTCAAAAAATTCCAACCGATTCCCAAAAAACTAAAAAGTGAAAAATAATTCCAAAAAGTCCACACAAAAACTAAATCAAAAAATATATAGCAAATTTTGCCGTAATTACAAGTAAAATCTTCAAAACCACCATATAAAATAAAGCTTAATATGGAGTCCCTTTTTATTATATTCAGTCCAGAATTTATCCAAAAGATATAAAAACCATCCTTAAAAATAACACAAAAATCTGAGGAATCCTAAAGAAAGTTTCTAAATCCAAGAAAAATCTCACAAGTTCACAAAACAAATCACGAAACAAACCGAAAATTCCTGTTAAGTCCCGAAGAACAGTAAAAACTAAAAAACAATTAAAATCTTAAAAATCTCGGAAATTCTCTAAACACCAACCAGTTTTGAGAAATTACTAGTAGGGTTTGCGATTAATCGATTAAATAATTTTTAAATGAATCATAATCCTGATTAATCAAAATATGGTATTACTCAGATTCGGAATAAGCAGATCCTGAGTAATTACTGTTTACTCATAAAAATTAATTGAAATCTGGATAAATTTGTTGAGCCGAGTAAAATTATGTAGGCTGTTTTTAAAAAAAAAAATTTAGTGGCGATTTTTTGATACGTAGATCATGGATCCACAGTCCTGCTCCTAAGTATCATATGGCAACATTCTGCCATCTTGGATTTTAGGTGCTTTTGGATTTTTTGTGATTTGCAAGCTTATTTTGCATTTTTTGTAATAAATGGTTGAATACAAATTTGTTAAGAATTTAATTTCCCATATTTTGTATGCAGAAGGTTAAAAAGAAGAATATTTTTTATTGTAAATAATTAGCAAAAACTGTGAAAAATTTTTGCATTGCCACGGTTTTCGCCATTTTTTGTTAATTTTTGTTGAAAATGTGCAGCACATTCAAATTTCAAAAAATCAAAAAAAGAAACCTAAAATCCAAGATGACGAAATGTTGCCAAATGGAATTTAATGGCAAGATTGTGGATCTCGCTACTATTTTTTTTCTTCGTAGCTACCAATTTGATCTAATTTTACGGCTCTTTTACGGCTTCTGATTAATCAGGTTACTATTAATCACTTTTCTGATTAACAAAATTAATTAGATTCTGATTAATCAAACCGTAATTAATTGAGAAATTAATCACTTTGCTTAAAAAAATGATTATTTTATGATTAGCTACTTAATCACGTGTCGATTAATCAGCTTATTCGATTAATTGACTAATCGCAGACTTACGAATTAACATTTTTTTTTGATACCTTTCATGAGCATGAAATGGTATTATAACTTTGGTCCGATGTTTGTAAGTACCAGAATAAAAAGAGATAGACCCATTAAAATGTATACTTATATGATCAGCTGACTCGATTGAGCCATGTCCGTCTGTCTGTCTGTCTGTCTGTCTGTCCGTCTGTTTGTATGCAATCTAGTCTCTCAGTTTTCGAGATATCCTGATGAAATTTGGTAAGTGAGTGTATTTTTATATTGTATTAATCATTTGTCGGAACCGGAAGAATCGGGCCACTATAACATATAGCTCCCGTACAACTGATTGTTCAGAT